GTTTAACCAGTCATAACTGATGACTGGTAAAGTTTGTTCCAGGAAAGGAAAATTTGAAGAATCCTTTTTCTTTTTACAAATCATTTTTTAGCAAATAGGGTAGATTTTAATAATTAATAAGTACTCTATATAACAGAGTACTCCATTCAGATTCCTATTTGCCTAAATGACACAGTATTTTAAAAATATTGATACTTAGGCACATAAATGTTTATTAGCTTGTTTATAAACTTTCATAAACATATATATGCATATATATATATATAGTACAAAATGTTACCCCAATACCCTTGTGCTTTGTACATATTTTCAAATTAGTTTGGGGGGCACTTGTTAGGCCAGTTGAGATCACATTGGATCTACAATTCACCATTAGAGAATTGACATCTTTCTTACACTGGGACTTTGGATCCATGAACAGAGTGTCCTTCTAATTACTAGTTTTCTTTAATTGTGATTATATTTGATAATTCAACATAGAGATCTTGTACATTTTTACTTTTTCATTTAATGTATTTTATGTTATTGAAAAGGAGGTCTTCTTCAAATTTCATTTTCTAATCTATTCCTGGTTTAGATATATGCAATTGGTTTTAGTATTTGCACTTGATAAACACATACTAATTCTGGTCATGTATAAGATTCTTTTAAATTTTGTGCATTTATAATTATATCAACTGTAAATAATGACATTATTGCTCAACTTGCTGCATGACACACTGGGTACTAATAATTTATCTGTGACTATGGTGTGTGTGTGTGTATACACATATTCATGAGTATGACTATAATTTTCCTCTCTCAAAATATCCTTGGTCCTTTTCAAGTTTTAGTATAAAGGTGATACTGGCCTATCACCATGAATTCATCTGTCTAATCTTCTATTATTTGAAAGTCTGTGTAAAATTGGTGCTGTGGCCTATTGGCTGTGTGCAGTTGATTTATTTAGGAAATTATCCTAGTTAACAGAACTAGGAAGAACTGGGAAGGAGCAAAAACAAACAAAAATGTACAAGGGACAGCTGAGGCTTAATCCTACAGTCATGTAGAATGCCCTTTGGAGTTGTCCACTCAACACAAAGAAGGGAGCAGCAGCCAGTTTTGTACCTTGAGGCTCCAACCCCACACGATTTTCACCTCTTCCCCAGAGTTTCTCTGACATGAGGTATGGGACACTGGTGGGAACCTCTCCACCAACACTCATATATTTACGACCTGGTAGTACACAGAAGTTAACATCCCAAGGAAGCGTTTATCAGTGGAAGACAGGAAACTGGATAAATGATCCTCTCTTCTGTAATAAAAGCTAAAGTGACAGAATGGGAGTTCAGACATAAAACTGATGCAATTGCCTTTACTTCTTCCTCGAACATTTGGAAGAATTCACTGATGAAGCTATCTGTTTTCCTTGTGGAAAGATCTTAATTACAAATTTAATTTATTTAAGAAATATAGGACTATTTTGTGTAAATTCGATATGTTATATTTCTCTAGGAGTTTCATTTCACCTACTTTGCTATATTTGACGTACAGTAATTGATACTGTTTTATTATTTTAATTGGCATGTATCAGAAAAATGAACACATCATGATTTGTAGTTAATGAGTTTTCACAAACTAAACATACTTGAGAATAGAACATCAAGCTTAAGAAATAAATTCTTAACAGACCATAAGCCACAATAGCAGACATGATTATCATTGTGCACAATTGGTGATATTTAATTTACATACATTAGTCCTTTTCTTTTGTTCACCATTTCTTTTACCACGTGGGCCTTCTTGCTAGGACTTTTTTTTTTCTTCCTGAAGCATGTCTTTCAGAATTCCTTTACTGAGGATCTATTGGTAGGGAACTTTGAGTTTTGTGACCTAAAATTCATCTTTCCCCTTGAAACAGCTTTATATTTTGTAGCTAAGTAGATAATGTTCACTTGTTGCTGGTTTCCATTATTGCTGATGTGAAGTTAGCTGTTAGTATAACTCCTTTAGTGGATTTGTGGTTGTTGTTGTACTACTGGGGTTTGAACTCAGGGCCTCACACTTGCTAGGTGGGTGATCTACCACTTGAGCCATTCCACTAGCACTGTTTTTGTGTTGGATATTTTTGAGATAAGGTCTCTAGAGCTAGTTGTCCAAGCTATCTTTGAACCAAGATCTTCCTGATCTCTGCTTCTTGAGTAGCTAGGACTCTAGGTGTGAGCCAACAGGGCTTGGCTCCAGTACTAGATATGTTGTTCTTTTCCTTTCTGGATTCTTATGGAACAGTTTTGTCCTGGTGTTTCACTAAAATGTGTGTATGTGTACATTTCTTTTAAATTGACAGACTTGGAGTTTATTGGACTTCCTCCATTGGAGAATTCAGTCATTGTCCTCTATATATTGCCTTTTCTCCACTATCTCTATTATGTTCTTCAGGATTTGCCACCCAACATGATTAGAATATGCTTGCTCTGAAATCTTGTCTTTTAACCTATCTTTTACATATTTTCCTTTCCTTCTCTTCTCTTCTCTTCCCCTTCTTTGCTTTCTGTCACGGTCTTACTGTGTTGTTCAGCCTTATCTTAAAAGCATGAGCTCAAGCATTCTTTCTGTCTCAGCCTCATGAGTAGCTGGGACTACAGGTATGCCCTACAATACCCAACTTCTTTTCTTTATTTCTCTGTTGCATTCTAAGTAATTTCCCATTCATTAATTTTCTCTTCAGCTGTGTCTATTGTCCTTTTAACTCACCCACTTTGCTAATTTCAGTTTTTCTATTTTTAATTCTTAGAAGTTCATTTTAACTCTATTTTTTTAATGCTGGCAAATTTTGACTTTCTCTGGTCCCTTTATCATGTTTTGAAATAATTTTTAGTTCTTAAACATACTAAGAATACTTATTTTATGTTCTGTATCTGTTATTTTCAGATATATGCAGTCTCTTTTAGTCTGATTTTATAAGTTTGGAGATTGAGTTTTATTCATGGTGGCTTGGTTTCCAATGTATTTTGTGATTTTTTAAAATTGTTGGTTCATATTTCTGGAACTTTATCTCAGGAAAGGTTTTGTACCTATATTTAAAATACATTTCTCCAGAGAGCATTTGCACTTGCCTCTGCCTGGCTCTAACAATCCAACCTTGGATTGTCTGGAGTTTTTTCATGCCATCTGGGCAGAACTTACTCAAACTCCAAACACACATGACCATTGTTAGTCACCTTGACCTCCAAAATATTCTTTTGCTTTTCTACAAGCTTAAACATACATTAAAAGTTATTTATAAGTGATATTCTACCCATTTTTAGGTGGCTACATGTTACAGAATTTTTCTATAAATCTAATCTACCTTGTCCTTCTACATTTTAATTGATCTATCCAGAATTCATTGTATAGATCCAATGCCTGAAATTTATAAATACATGTCATATATTATAGCACCTCACATAGTTAAAAAGGCAGTCCTCTAATTTTTCTTGGCTCTTTTCATTATTTTGTATGTTTTATAATTAGAGTCAAAATAAAACTTTGAGCTGCTCTGTGGTACCATGTTAATATATACTCTGTGGAAAGAATCACACAATTTGGAAAGAATTCTTCCCATTAGCATATTTCTGGTTAATATTTTTCTTAAGTTTTAAAATTATTTTTCTAATTGAGACAAGTCTTTTTCCTCCATTACAGTTTCTAGTTAGGTATTTGGAGATTGCCATTTTGAAGCACATAGTTTTTTATATCCCCTTTGTACAAATGGCCTAATAGTTTTTAAGGAGTTTATTGTCATGACATGGAAGGCTGACAAAGATAAGCAAAACAAAATGGTAAATATGTCAATTAACTGCTTATTTAAAAATATTCAATAGCACAAAGGTTATTTCTGCTGTGCAGTCAGAATAACCCTTGAGAAGGACATACTAATTGCTTTTCCCCTCTTAATGTTTGGAAAGGAAATGATATTGTGGTTCTCGAGGTAAACAACTAACAGCTCTTGCTGAAATAGATTTCCTCTAGGAATGAAGTCCCTCTTTCCAAACTCTACAGGTTGTATTTTTTATTAAAGCTTAGTGTCCACGATTACTAATTGCGGGTGTAAGGGACATACACAGTTGTCACTTTCTAGGGTCATTTTCCAAATTAACAACAAAAATCCATCCTACTCTTCACCGCAGCTCCTAGCCACTATAGTTTGATCTCCACAAAACCTTATTACTGGTAAAAACTGAGAAACATGCCACCTTACTTTTGTGACAATTTACAATCCTTCAAAAGCTATTTTTGTCTTTTGTTATCAAGCCAACTCCTTCCTCATGGCAGTCAGGTCATGGCAACCATTTGCTGAATTTTAACTGGGAGGTATTTTGGACGGAACTCAGCAGATCTGGAATTAGCTCTAAAAGCCATGATAAAATACAATAATTACACCCAACGTGTAAAAAAGAGATAGGCACTACTTGTGTTTCGCTCAGATTCTCCCAACTCCAACCTGGTTTATCTTTGATCCCAAAGCGCTGATTCCCTGCACAAAACAGATATGGAAATATCTTTTTCGCTGGAGGATTATAATTGCAATATAAGAGAAAAGATCCCAAAGCAAGCTGATGCTATTCTGCCTTGCCCTGATTGGAAAGAAGATCCAGGTGATTAGTGAAAGATGATTTCTACATCCTTAGTGTGTCTGGCATCAGCCACCAACTAACTGCAGAGACCCGCTGCGGTCCATGTATTTGTGTAGCCAGCAGAGAGCAGAGAACCATTCCAACTATGGCCGCTGGATGGCGCTCACAGGAAACGTGCCAACTGATACTCTGGGTCCTGGGCCACGCCCCCAGTTTCCTAGGTTACGGGCTCGTTCCCTACGTGCTGTTCCGGAAGGCGGCGATCTGACGTTCTCAGAGCGTGACACACGCGCTCTGGTATAAATGCGCGGCGTGTGGCGTTCACTTCCTCTCGGATCCCACGGCTGACTATTAAGATGGCGCCGGTGAGTGCGCGCCGTCTCGGTGGGATGGTTTTGTGGCAGTGTGAATGATTTTTGCATGCGGCAGGTAGGGACGTCTCATTTGAGATAAAGGGAGTGGAGAAATAGAGACCCAGTCGGGAATGTTACAAAGGTTAAAATCTGGGGTTGCTGGAGAGACTGCATGGCAGCCATGCGGTCCGGAGGAGCTCGAGCTGGCCGGGGAATTGGCTTAGGACCGCGGTCCTGGGGACGCAGGGAGGAGGGAGGCGCCATTGCTCCGGAGGAAGGTGGAGGTGGGGAATCGGACCGGTGGGATGGCGTAGTCCGGGGGACTTAACGCTATGGCCTCGGTTACTAAAGTTTCCGAAATCTTTCGAGCCAAGCTGGGAGGAAGTTTTCTATGGAGCAAGAGTCGCGAATGCTTTACGATAGCGCTGTTTAAATTAAGGCATCAATAGGAGGCTGTTAAAATAACCCAAAGGGCATTTGAAGAGGTTAGGTGGGTGTTGGCAGCTTACCAACAATTGATTGATGCTCCTTCGGCGGATAAATCCTCTGAAGTTATTACTTCCGCTGGGTAAATTATTTGCATCCCCCAAATTAACTTGACCCAGGATCGCTTAGCCAAAAGTAAGTCAAGCCCACCATTTTCACAGATCTTTTTGCCAGTTTCAAGTTTTGAATAATAGAGGTGACACAGTTTGCAAGGTCATGAGGAATAATTGATATCCATTTGGGTGACTCTAATTTGGAGGTTACATTTTCTGTCAAAAAAACAATGTGGATGTTTTCATTACATTGTTTTTACTAACCACATTTGCCTCTGTGGCCATTAATTTCAAAGAAACATCACCGTATAAAGCCTCTACCCAGCCCCCTTTTTTCCTTAACTGTAACCACATAAGAATTGAATTCTGCAGACATAATGGAATCCTAACTCTGGCATGTAACTGAGCTTGGACTATGGGTTGAATGGTCTGTTACCCATCTCCAGTGGGGAAGAGAAACTCGGGAAAGGCCTTTTGACAGCTTGAACAAATTGGGCTTGGTTAGAGGTTCATGCTATTTTAGCTTTAACTTGGAGTGGAAAATACATCCCTTGATTAATTTTTTTCAGTTGCAGTAAAAATTGGATTCTTTTTAGGTCATTGTACCTTACCATGTATTTCAAGTATTTCTGTGTTTTGCACTCCTGAGACATTTAGGTGGTAGGAAAGGGAAATTTCCATCAGAATTAACAAAAACTTGGTTTAAACCAGATCAAGGAGTGTGCCCTTTTCAGATAGTCACGTTAGGTCCAATAAAAATTGAGTGGTTTAGAATTTTCACCATTTCTAGTATATATAAAGCCTTATATATTTGATACGTATGCTGAATGAATTGTCTTATAATTATTTTAACTTTGTATAGCAGAAAGACAAGAAGCCTAAGAGGTCAACTTGGAAGTTTAATTTGGACCTTACTCATCCAGTAGAAGATGGAATATTTGATTCTGGAAATTTTGTAGGTATCATTCTCATTTGTTTCTGTACTTGTGTAGTTGTTGATAATTTAAGTACATAAAATTTGGTATTAATGTAAGCTGTATTCCTAGGGTACCTTCCCTAGTGAATATCTAGGGTTTTCTTCCCTAGTTTTGCATTTTGTCTGTTTTACAACAGGAACAATTTCTTCGGGAGAAGGTTAAAGTCAATGGAAAAACCGGTAATCTTGGAAATGTTGTTCACATTGAACGCTTCAAAAATAAAATCACAGTTGTTTCTGAAAAACAGTTCTCTAAAAGGTTAGTACTTTTTTTGCAAACTAAAGAAATTCCAGTAGCTGTGGAGTATTTTACATAGTATTTAATTCTCACACTTAGTCTAATGCTCAAATGTTGGTGGTGAGGTATTTTGAAAGTGCTTTGAACTTAATAAAGACTTGCAGGAGTGGAAAATAAGTTAGTATGTAGGTGTCAGTGCTTAGGGCAGTTTATCAGTATCTAATTTATTATTAGAATATAGGTAGCTCCTGTCCAAGCTTCCTTGTTAATCTTTATGAGATTATATATAATTTAGTTTTGGGTGCTTAGTATTTGAATGTTCAAAGAGATGTCTAATGTATACTTGGGAGAAATGTCCTGACTCTCTGATACAAACATTTTCTTAATAGTTAAGGTTTTGGGTTATATAGTAGAGACTGCCAGTCAAAGGCATTTTTATTCATCCAATTTACTTAGTATTGAATACTCTGGTAGCACTAGCAGGACCAGGTAACCCAAGCCACCGTCACCAAGAGCTTCTCTACTTGAAAAGAGAGACATTGAAGTACAATGTCAAACAGTGATAGATGCCGTATAAGTGGTTTGGAAACAAATCCACTGTTCAAGCAGAATGAGCCATAATCTTAACAGATTAAACTTATAGTAAGGAAGCTAGTGTATTTTCTCAAGAGTGTAAGATTGGTTGGAGGACCAGCTCTTAAACCCTGAGCAGGGCTTTAGATCTTATTTAAGAATAAGGCAAACACCAGTTGCCATGTTGTCTCAAGTTGATTCAAGGTAAGATTGAGGTTAGGGATATCGACAGTGAAGGAATTGCATGTTGCTTAATTAAGTAATTTGTGTGTGGCAATAAGAATGAAGAGGAAGGTACCATTACTGTATATACTAACTTCCAACATAAACAATTATCTTAGGAAGATGGAAGACTGTAGTTTCATAGAGCATAAACTGTACTAGGTTTTTATTTGTCCCTAGCCATCTTGTACAATGCTTCCTATAAATGGAAGGAGGAAATATATAGAGGGAATTGCGGTTATGGCATAGTAGAGATTGCATTTCCTAATGAAATTCATGTTTTTGTTTTAAAGGTATTTGAAATACCTTACCAAGAAGTACCTTAAGAAGAATAATCTTCGTGATTGGCTTCGTGTGGTTGCATCTGACAAGGAGACTTACGAACTTCGTTATTTCCAGATTAGTCAAGATGAAGATGGATCTGAATCTGAGGACTAGTTTGGTCTCTTCTTCAGGGAGACAAATAGGCTTATTTTTATCAGTGAATAAAAACAGTGTACTCTTAAACTTGTTCTTTTATTTAAGAGATAGTATTTGATTTTGATTTTCGTTTGATGAGTTCTGTAGCAATATTTTAGAAGTTTATAACTAGTAGAATTTGCCAGGATTTCTGATTTTTATTTATACACGTTTCAATATAATGTATAGGAAATTGAAGCACATTTCATATATAGCCTTACATTTTGGGATTTAGAAAAACCAACAGTCTCGTTTTTGTACAGTTGTAAGTGTCCTGGTTGCCTAGAACAATTCTTGCACATAGGTGTTTAGTTACTGACTTATTTCCTGCCTTCATAGGATGATAATTAGCATAAAGGCTGAGTGAGTTCTAAGCTGATATTTAATTGTCTATTAAAAATATTCTGGGCCTGGTGCCACCATAAACTTTAAAAAAAGGAAACAAAACTTTAAATCTGAGCCTCTTATGACTAAATCTACTTCTGTGTCCATTGTTTGAAATCTTGTCTCTCCCCCCACTCTAACCCCGCTTTGTAAACTTTCAGATGATGTACTCTTATCTTTCAAATAAAGAGGCCTTTGAAAGCTCTTTAATGCAGAATGTCAAAATCCAGATAGTACAAACACAGAATGATGTGCCTTTTTATACAACAACCTGAAGATTTTGCCAGAAACCTAATGCCAAACTAATTTTGGGGGTGTAAAAATGCCCAATGTGCTTTTCACCCTAATGGAAGTAAGAGCAGTTCACAAAAGAAATGTGACCAGAGAAGGCAACTGAAAATGCTGACCTGTACAACATTCGCAAAATCTGGATGAAGGAAGTGCTTCAAGCAGGCAAACACTGCTAACTGAAGTCCTCAGAATATTGGGAGTCTGGTGGGCATGGAGTATATAATCTAGAAATAGATGTGATTATGAGAATCCAGGAAGAAAGGAACCAGCTGGTGTGGGACTGAAGTCCTTGTTTTGATCTTGAGAGCAGTGGGAAACAGTTTTAAGCAGAGTACTTGTATGCAGGGAGATGGGTGTTTTGAAAGTTAAATTGTCCAGGGGTAGCTTTCAGTAGATTCATTGGGTGCAGGAAGCTATTGCTGTATCTTGTGGAAGATGTTGGAAATGGAGAGAAGTAGATGGATTCAAGAGATGTTTAGAGCACAGTCTGTAGGACTTGGTATGTTAGCTGTAATGAAATACCTTCAGTCAGGTAATTTCTCAACGTTCTGGGGGCTAGGAAGGATTTGCTACTTGAGTCATTTGGTGGGAGGCATGAGCTAGGTCTCTTATTGTTTATCACTGCTGTCACAAATAGTTAAATTCCTAATAGGATTTCAACATAGGAATGGGGAGAGGGAGAGACATTCATACCATAGCATGGACCATTGGTGAAAGAAATTTCATAAATGACTCATATGCCATTAGATGATATTAGCCAAGTTTGGTCACAATGGAAAAGGAAGAGTCAGGGAAAAGCATTTTAATTCAGGCTGTTAAGAATTTGAGGTGTCCTGAGACCCAGAAGATACTAAGCAGGAAGTAAGGATCTGGGTGAGAGATCTGCTAGCCTGCACAAAGAAATAATAGGGTAAGTAAAATTGCCTGTGGAGCTTATAGAGAGGATAAAGGATTGGCAAACACCAACTGTTCCTCTGCAGCAAGCATTCAAAACACATCTAGTGTTTACATTTAAAATTCTTCAAAATTTGACATATGTACTGGGGCTGGGTACATTGCCAAATATCTGTCCCTTTAAGGATTTGCAAGTATTATTGAGAGCTGCATGCTAGATATCTGGGATATTGCAATAAGTAGAAAGTCCTGTCTTCATGAAGCTTAAAGTCCAGTGGTGGAAGACAGTAAAAGAAGTAGAATGTATGTTTTGTGGTAGTAAATGCTATGAAGAAAGAACCTCGTGCTCGTAGCTCACACCTGTAATCCTAGCTACTTGGGAGGCTGTGGAGAGTGGATTATGAGAAGCCTATGAGAACTGGACATAAGCAAGCTGAGATGCAGCTCAACTGCTTTTCCTAAACTGTTTATGCTGAGATTGCCATAGCCCCACTCACAATAGAGGAAAAGCAGAACAGCTGCTTCTAAGTTGTTTATGTTTACAGAAGCAGGAACACAGGTTTCTCTTGTTAAAATGTCATGCCCCTCCCTGAGAACTGCTGCTCCACCCTGTTTACCACAGGATGTAAAAGACTCAATGAAGGAGGACGTGAGGTTTTTTGGCTTTGGGGCTTTTGGCTTTTGGATGAAGGGAGGCTTTTTGATGTGGGAGGCTTTAGAAGGGAAAAGAATTGCTAAAGAGGGATTGATAGGAAGTCTGCACTGAGAACTTTATATATAGGCTTTAGAAAAAGCTAAAGAGAACATGGGACAGTGCAGGTTTAAGAACTGAGACTTCAAGAGTTATGCATATGCAGTTTTTAGGTGCAGCTCTTGTTTGCAAGTCTAAGCACCAAGGCTTTAAGGAAGCTAAAGTGGGACTGCAAATCTGTTTAAGAGAGATTATGCTAAAGAAAAGCTAAGAACAAGTCTAAGGAAAGAAGTTTTAAAGAACAGAAGACTTTAAAAGCAAAGTTTTAAAGAAAGACTTTAGAAGCAAGCTTTTAAAGAATATAGATAGAGAAAAGAAGCAGAGTAAATGAGAATAATAGAGAAAAGAAGCAATGAGGGTTGTGTGTCTCCACCTGAGCATCCAACACCCCTGGCCTCAACTTTCTGTCTATCCTTTGTCTTTTCTGAATCTCCAGTCACCCCCGCCCCCACCCCAGATAGCCCCAGTTAGGTTTGGTAATAACCAGGAGTGAGGAAAAGCTTGCTCTAAGAGGCTGAGATTGGGAGGATCACAGTTTCAGGATAAAAGGGTCAAAAAAAAAAAAATTCATGAGACCCTCCCCTCCCCACCCCATCTCACTGGAAAACAATCTGAGTGTGGTGGCACATGCCTTTCATCCTTGCTATGGTGGGAAGCATGAACTAGGAGGATCACAGTTGAGTCTAGCTTGGGCAGAAAGCTGCGGGACACTGCAAAATAACCAGAGCAAAAGGGGCTAGAGGCATGATTGAAGCAGTGGCCCTGAGCTCAAGCCCCAGTACCTTTAAAGATGAAATGTAGGGAGGAAAGAGCGTTACACCTGTAAGTAGAGGTGCCATCGAAGATTTATTTGAGTAAAGTTGTAAAGGAGATACTGAATCCAACCAAGTACGTATGTGGGGGAGGAGTATCCCAGGCACAGAGAGCAAAGGCTCTCTGAGTGATGACTAGAGCTGGAATTTAAGAAGTGAAAGGAAGTGAGTGTTGGGGGAAAGGGAAGATTCTGTATTAATTATCTATTATGCTAAAAATGTAGTGGCTTAAAACAAATTTACCTGCAAGTTACTGAGTCTCTGGAATTAGACCAGCCATATAGTTGGGATTCAGGGTTCCATGAATCTGAAGTGAAGCTGTGGGCCTGGGCTACAGTGCCACAGAGTTGGCAAACTACTGCCTGTTTCTATGAAGTTTTATTGGAACACAACCATGCCCATTTACCTTTCATATTTTGTACAGTGCAGAGTTAAGTAGTTGCAATAGCAACCATATGGACTGCAAAGTGTAAACTATTTGTGATCGATCTAGCCCTTTAAGAAAAAGTTTGTTTTAGGCTTAAATGGGGCTGGAGGATCTCAGCTATTGGCAGGACAATTCAGTTCCTTATGATATGTTGTCACACAGAGACTGCTCAGGACACTACAAGAAGTTTCCTCAGAGCAAGTGACCCTGAACAAGAGGAAGAAAGCAAACAAGATAGAAGCCACAGCGTCTATGACCTAATCTCAAACTACATTTCATCCCCTACTGCTTTGTGTAAGGTACTGCCAAGTAAAGACCACGCCACGTGTGGAAAAGAAAGATTTATTGGGACCAGACTGCAGGGCTGTCACTTCTTTGGGTTCAGAGTGCAGCAGCTTGGCTAAAATGGGTAGTGGGCTTTATAGGAAGGGCCATGGGGGAGGGAGAGAGTTTCTGGTCTCAGATTATCTGTGATCACCAGATGGAACAGGTCGACATGCCTGCCTAGTTAAGTAACTGGAAGTTCCTGAGTTGTTTTGCAAGCTGAGAAACAAACAGAGAAACAAGCAGATGGGGGAGGGGGGTTGGCAAGCAGTCATAAATCAGGGAGTCTGGTTTCAGTGCTAACCTCGGGACCTTCCACCTGCCCCAAGAATGCCAGGGACCTAACACTTTGTTTTACTGGTTACACAGTCTAACCTTGGAGCAGAGTGGAAGGGGATTGTACAGAGCTGGAGTACAGGGAGGAGGATCGTTATGTGGCCCTGTTGAAGACTGGTGACCACCAAATGGACATCCAGTAGGGAGAGCTTTGTAGGCTACTGTTAACGCTTCAGCTATTTTCCTGAATACTATAGACATGAACAGAGAAGTTTCCTGATCTGACTTCTGTTACAGGTAAATGATTATAATGAAGTACTTTGTTAGTCTCTGACAAAAAGTTTTGGGACTTCAGAGAAAGCTTTTAGTCTGTACATTCTGGGCATGTGTCTTCATAGTTGTGAAGCCAGCTTTATTCTGAAGGACTGAGAGTCTCAGTTTCCTTACCTTGCAGGGTCTCTGTCTTCATCAACTGGGAGTTGTTTTATTTTTAACTTTTTACTTTTTCTTTTGAACTTTTTTATTTATTGTGGAACATTTCAATTATATATAAAAATAGAGAACTATGTTTCTGCCTACTCCCCACATCCCCAGATTATTTGATTTTAAAGAAAATTTTCTACATCATATCATTTCATCTAAGTTTTAGTGTCTAAAAGATAAAGATTCTTTAAGCGTAATTACCATACTGAGCCAGGCATGGTGGCGTATGCCTGTAATCCTAGCACTTGGAAAATGGAGGCGGGAGGATCACGACTTTGAGGTCAGCCTGGGCTACATAGCAAGACCCTGTCTCAAGAAAAGCAGACACACAAAAAGCCTACCATGTCATTATCACACCAATAACAAATTAGCAATGATATATTATCCAATGCCCAGTCAGTGTTTAAATTTGGTAATACTTTAACTTTGAGCAAATCAGGGTTGTAGCCTTTTGACATCTTATTTGTCTTTGTAGTGT